CAAATCAAAAAATAACCTGACATATATGGAGAGGTGTGGACTAGACTGATATACTGCAAACCCGTAACTTCTGGAAGATGAATTGTTTTTGTAGTATTGGTGTAAATTGATGAAAAAAAAGCTTTTTATTCCAGTTTTATTCAATCTTATAACTGAGAAGTATTTTTGAGATCACTAGCTTGGCCGAGTTGCTCTACTACAAACAAATAAACTGTACCTTGTTTAGGTACAGACCTTGTTTATTTTAGAAAAAAAGGCAAAATTTCACCCTCCAAATCTACTATTAAATATTCTCTATGGAGTTTAATCATCATCTAAACCTAATAAAAATAAAGAATACAAAAATACCATAAATGTCTCTTTCTTGATAGACTTGGTAAAAAATATTTTCTTGGAGGAGCAATATAGAAAAAATATAGAAATATAATAGACTAAATATAATTTATAAGTTTCTATCATTTTAGAAATGCAACATTCTGTAATAATTGCAATACAATATTGTGCTCTTTGATTTATAGCCATAGTTCATTCCTGCAGCATTCAGTGGCAATAGGCCTTTGGCCTCTTGCCTAACAATACACGAGACAAGAATTACTACATTGTAATTCACACTCTGTCATGCCTTACTGCTTAATTAAAGCACAAACCTTCATGACATGACAAGCAGTTTGACTGTTACCATAATAAATTATCTTGCCTAACATATTTTAATATTACAACCTTCTCTTTTGTACATGCACTGAAAATTATCAGAATAATTGCATATAAGCTTCTTTCTTCGTCTGCAAAGTGTGAAGAAGGTTGTATATTTTGCTAGAGATACTCCCTTATTAAACTTTTTTGTTTGCTTCATTTTGCTTCAAGAATTAATTCTTGCAAATCTCTAAGATCTCTGATTATCTAGTCACTTGCAAAACTGTTATACTTCTCAGCCACCTAAATGATAAATTAATATTTTTTGTTGTTAAGTGATAATGTGGAAATAAACCCACAATAATGTTAAGGTTATAGTGTCTTTAAAATTCTAGACAAAGGCATTGAAAGAGTTTAATTTTGTTGCAATATAGAAGGTGACTATTCTGTATTCAAAGTTAAGTAACTAATGAAACAAACTTATTTTTCAGGAAGAGCAATTTGAATCACTTTCTCATAAAGATCTTTCTCTCCTGGATGTGTCTCATATTGAAATGAAATTATATAAAATATAATCATTTGTTATTAAATTATTGCTGACTATTATTGAAAATTGATTAGTTGAAATTCTATTTTTTATAAAAGTCAATGGCAAAAGTCACTGACTTAAGTGAAATGCTCATCTATCATGTGAAATGATAGACCATGGAAATAGACCTTAGTATTCCTTTTTACAACATAATTATTGTTTAATAGTATTAGTTATTTTATTAACAGCTTCACACTACCTGAAAGTGGGAGATACACCATCACCATCCAGATACTAAAAATCCTTTGCTTTTGGAAACTAACACTTTAAAATTAAAATGTGCAACCATGAATTTCCACAATTTTGTGTGACAAGCATGGATTTCTTAAAGCATATAGGTAAACAAGTGAAAAGAAATCATAAAGAAATTATATAGACTGTACCTGATATATGTTCTATGAGCTTCAAGGAGCAATTTAATGAGGTTCCACTGAACTCCGTATGTCTGCAAGGTGACTGGGATGTCCCTGGAACTCTCTGCTACAACTATAATATGTCTATGATGTGACTGTGATATAACACAAACAGCTGCAGTCTTTGATCATATGTTGGCAGGTTATGTACAGATACAGAATGTGTTAGAAGGGCACACTTTATTAATTTGACTGATGGTCTGCTATGCTGCTGGTTCCAAAAGCCAGAAGAAACCAAGCTCTTCCATGCTAGCTTGACAGCGTTTTATTGTGGCAATCACTTGAAATGGAGTATCAATCATTAATATCTAATTGATTATCATAAATGCCAGATACAATCATGTCCTCCCCTTCATTTGATGCTGGGCATTTTCTTTAAAGCTAGTGTTATATCCAACATTATTTTTCTGAATTAGCACAAAACATAAGTACAGTTTAAAAGTTAGCTGCCACCATTCTGAACACATGCTGGAGTTCTCTGTTAACAAATGTTTTCACAGATTTTCAATCTAATAGTAGGGTACTGCTATTTCATAGGTACAAAAACATACCCATTCTGAAAATCCGTGATAATAAAGTTAGACCCTGACAATTTAGAAGTTTTATTTATTCTAGTTTCACAAAATTCTGTTTTACACTTGCATACTCAACCATTTCCCACTGTATTTAAAAGACTTTTATGATCTTCCAGGGTATATTTTTAAGAAGTAAATTCTAAATCAAACAATACTTGGTTGAAACATATTTTCTATCCATCAATCTCCTCCTGCATTCTGCCTTATTACAGAGCTGAGCTTTCACAAAAATTGGCTTCTTCTAGTCAAATAAGATGGGGAAAGCCTTGTGGCAAGGATTTTTCCAAATGGGCAACGATTATCACAAAGAACATTATGGCATCTTCTAAGAATATGGGTGTAGAAGATAATGGTAACCGGTTGAGTGGATTAAGAGCTGTACTCATGAAAGTAGAGTGAGGATTTAGTTTGAATTGATTTGGGTTTCAGTTAGATGCAGCAATTACTGCTCCAGATTTATTTTTAGACACAATAATGTCCTCAAATAGGATTTTGAAGGAAAGTTTGAGGAAACTCTTTACTTCAGATTTGTGGAATTAAAGCTCTCCTCAGAATAATGTTTCAATTGTACCTTTTTTTTTTATCCAAGATATAGTCAACAGATTTCAATAAGCATCTAGGATTTTAACCAAATTTTGTAGCACAAGTGTAGCTGTTCAGTGTCCTTCACTATCTTCACAATGTCTCTGTACTGTAAATTTATTTTTTTCCCAATTTGACCTCATACTTTCACCATACTCCCAGCTTGTTTTCTTCCAAAATTTCTTCTTTCACAAGAAATACCCAACTTCTAACCTTACTAGAGGCAAAGGGGAGGTTGCAAAATTCAGTGTACTCCTTTGATGAGACCTCCCTCTGCCCAGCCTCTGCCTTATTCAGCCCTTTTAAGTCTGCCAGGGACCCTTCCTTTCAATCCTTTCCCCAAGAAACTTTGCACTACACTGGAGAGCTAAACAGCTGAGACTATAACACCATGCAGGGAAATGGTAAGGAAAAATTGCTGAAATCCAGTATAGTAATTCTCCCTTACTGCTTAGAGATTCAAAAAACCTCTTCTTGTCATGCCCAACTCTATCATACACTTTCTGGAGGATCCTGACAATCCTTGTTTTTATTCCAAGTTCCCATCACATTGCTGGGCTACAGTTCATCCTGGGGCACTTCTGAGGCTGACAGGTGTCAGGAGGTGATACCACAGCCTTGTCTGCAGGATGGTGGCTGTCACTGGAGCTTACCTTATGCCAAAAAGGCAACAGAAAGGGGAACTTTTACCTGTTCTTTACTGTAAACTAGATCAGGTGAGGTCCTCTAGAAGTTGATGAAGACTATGACTTCCCTAACATCGCCTAAGAATGCTAACGGGGAGAAGTACCAGAAGCTGAGTAGGGAAGAGAGAAGACGACAGGGAAGTGGAAGAGGGTAACAAAGAGGCACTCACGGTGACCAGGTGGCAAGCACAGCCAGGGCCCTGAGGAGATGGAGGGAAAGAGACTGCTCCTGAAGAATGCAAAAGAGATGGGACACTTCAACTTGCCAGGAAAGGACAGGCAAAGCAACTGGACAAGGAAGAGAGAACTGATCTACAACGGCATAGTACAGCGTACTACAACTGAATTATAAACTGCTATTTCCATTTAGTCCTGTTTTGAATTTTCTCTATTTTGAAAGAATTCACTGTGTTAATTTGTCTTTAAATAAGGTTTATAGATTCAAAACTATTTAAGGACAATCTTGTTAAGTTTATCAGTTCAGAGTCTCATCACACATATTGCTCACAGAGTGACAAAGCAGACTGATAGCTCTAAGAAGGTGAACATAGAACCTACATTTCAGTCTGTGTTTAAAAAATAACAAAATGTTTCATCCTTGGTTAAGGCTTGGCAAGACTCTGAAATGATCAGCTTAAAAAGGCCATCCTTAAATAGTTTTGAATCTGTAAGCTTTATGTTTCAACTAAATGCAAAGGATCAGTTTGCCATACTGCTCCTTGGTGTTTCTCCTACAGTAACTTCCCCTCACAAGTTGCTGAACATCCAAGTTTTAAACCTCTCAATAAGAAGTTAAATAATCCCCAGCTGAAATGTAAATACCTAAAATACGTTCTGTTTCCACAATCTATTCACCTTTAATCTAGATACAAACAACTATATGTGTTTCTAGTTCAGAGCTAAGAAAATGCCAGTTTGTATTATTTTCATCTTTTTCAGTAGGAAATTCTACTCAAAGAACTGTTATTCCTCTAATGTCCAAGCACGGCACAGTGAATTAAACTAATTCATTTCAATACATCTCAAGCAGTACAACAGTATTTTGGAAAATCCTCAAAGGCAAAGACTTGGAGAGCCTGCACTTAGCAAAAGGTCTGCTTTTAAAACCAAAAAAAACCCCTCTTATTCAGAAAGTACATCTGCTATGCAACAGTACGCAGGTTTGGTCTTGCCCAAGGACTTGTAGGGTATTCTTAGTTTTCAATTGTGAAGACTGTGTAACTATTTAACCATACATCACTGAATAAAAAAAATTAATCTATACAGTAAAGCAAATGTTATGATCCAGAAACTGAAGAGTGAGCTGACACCTATGGCAGCAAACATTCAATACTCCTGCAAGATTTTCCTCTTCAGGAAAACACAGATGACAGCAAAACTTTTCACGGTCTGCTCTGCTCACCTACCTTTTCTGATGAGCTGGCTGCAGAAAAGCTGATGGAAAGCTCAATTAGTGTAATTTATGTCTCCTTGGATGTCAATCATTCCTGTTGAGAGGTGGGACTTTCAGGATCTCTGTGCATTAATTAAGAGTGTATCTCAGCAGAGTAGTCATTCCACCTAAGGACCAAGGAAAAACTTTTAATTAGAGTCTAGAAGACAGCATGTCATACACATACAATAGTAGTCCTCTACTAAAAATTGAAGAGTAAAGGGGCATTATTAGAAACACTGTAAAGGGCACCAATTTCTTGTCAGCATTTAAGTACAGAAATACAGAACTATTTTCACTGTGCATACAATGAGTCTGACTGAAATAACTGACAAGTTCTGTAAGATCGTATAGGCACCACTCCAATTTTATCTAGGTTGTATGAATGCTAACTTTGTTATTTGACCCCTGTCAAATTATTGATGCTGAGCTGATGTTGATGGAGAGCTCCTCCACAGCTCAGACTGCATTTCTCTCCCATGACCAGCTTTCTATCCCGAGCTATCTTCCGACTGAACAAAGAACAGGCCAAACAATGGAAGTTCAGCCAAGGGGAGGGAATGGACTTGTGCAAAGCACTATTTTCATTCATTGAGTGGTATATGTACATGTGTATATGTGTAGAATATGTATGCAGTTGCTGGTTGCCCTTAGACAAATTAAGGCTCTGGAGAGGTTAAAAACTCACTGGGCTAACTGGTGTGAGCTGCCTGAGAGCACTGCACTCATGGAATGACTTACTGGAGGACAATCAAATATGCTGCTTAGGACTCACTAGGGAAATAATGTATAAATAATTGATTATATCATTTATAAATTAAAGGAAGGAAAACAAATTTAAAACCTGGTCTGGAAAGTAGACATGTCAGCTAATAATTCAAGCATGAAAAGTGGAAAATTTAAGAGAAAAAATAAGTTTATGTTTGACAGAATAAGAAGAAACTTGCTTGTCAGTGGCTGAAATTAGGAATCTAATGAACAGATAAACAAAATAAAACAACAAATAGACCATTCTAGGAAGGTTTAGAGAGAAGAATAAAATGTCAAACTCCACTACGAAAATAGAAGAAATATACATAAAAATGAGATTTTCAGTATCCTACAGGCATCTACACATTGTAGTTAACAAATGCACTGCATAATATAATAATTGCAAAGGAGGTTAGTACACAGAAAAGGAATGGGAAAGCATGTCAGGAGGAGGGAAATGTTTACTCTGAATTCTAAAATAACAAACAAATGCTCTGACCTTCTCCAGGGCTACTGCACGCCAGAGTCTTTTACTAAGGTATTTGTGAATAACTGAGACATGGACATTTCTGTCAAACACCTGTTTGAAAAACACATACTATACATTTTCCATCTAATCAATGTAACCAGTGGGTAATGAACACCAGCAGCAAATAAAATAAGCTGTAGATATTACTGGTAGATTGTCCAAAACATTTTCTTCTAAATACCAACCTGTGCATCACAATACTGCACATTGTGATGTACAGTATTAGTGTGAGGGAACAACCAGTCTTTTAAAGAAATTCACAAAAATGTGGATGATAACCTATGCTAATGTGTTCATAAATATTTCTATTTTTGCCCAGCTACCTTTTTGTACATGTTTGCTTTTTTTTTTTTTTTTTGCTATATAATAGCAGAATAGTTTACAAAAGCACTCTATAAAATTTACCAATTGGAAATGCTACAGTCTTTACTAGATGAATTCAAGGGGTAGATGAAATATCGAAACATCAACTACAATGGCAAAACACAGTAACACATCCTTGAGTATGTTAGTATTGAAACTTGTGCTTAAAAGTTCAACTTTTATTCTGTGGATTGATACAGAAGCATTAGAGTACAAAACAGACTATACTTTATTGGTATGGATATATGCGTATTACTAAATCTGATATCTAGTTCACTGTGGACCTAAATTATTTTTCACTGGAAGATGGATTTCATAAAAGGACATGTTTAATATCTGCAAGTACCAGGGGTAAGTCTTTTAAATGAAACTGAAATGAATTTATACAGGGTTTGTCACTTTTATTCTCTTAACTGAAGTAAAGTACCGAGTCTTGTTATCTGCAGTCTCCTGCTAGTCATATTTAGCACATTCCCTGTCAGCTGCTTCTCTTGATTAAGAGGATGGCAGAGATAATGGACACATTAAACTCCAGAGCAGACAGTGAATCTTTGTTCCTCTAAACAATGATATGAATTTTATAACAGTTTAATTTGCTGTTATTCCCAAGGGACAATGTCACGAAGTGAATCAGAGGACTGCTAGTCAAGTACAAACTGCATGTTAGCAGCGTGGTGCCTTCTCAGCTCTTTCCTTCCTGTTTCTTAGTTTGTCTCTTCTGAACTTGCACTCCAATACACTGCTTTGGAAACCAGCCATAAAAGAGGCTAACTCAGACAATAAAATCTGGATGATCTACTGAACTGTGACTGAGATTTGTGACCTGCCTTAAAGTGAATCAGATTCAATGACAAAAGTTCTTACAAGCGGCTCTCACCCAGAGCCTGGCAGAATGTCAACACAGTTGTACTAAACATGTCACACAAAACTTGCTGAGAACCACATGACACCATGGCTTATCTTGAAAAAATATTTTTAAAGTCAGAAGAATTCACATGAAATTCACAGTATAAAAATGGCAATTCCAAAGCGCTTGTCAACACTGCAGAATATAATACGGCAATTAAATTATATTGCAGAGACAATGAGAGAGAAGAGCGGGACTTAAAATCGCCAGCTCTTCAGGCAGTCTCCAGGTGAACTTCAAAGCCTTTATTGAAGCTTGGAAGTTTGAAGTCTTGCTGTCCAAGACTTCCTCTATGGCCGACAGGAAAACAGAAAAGCATCTCCAGACACCAAGTGAATCCTAGTAGCTTCTATCCTTCCACTCATTAGAGAGGGATCAGTGGGCACCTAGGCAGCTAACCTAAGTTGGGAGTAACTCGCCTGTGTCCCACAGGCTGATTATCAGAGGTGCCTAGCAATTAAATCCTAGTGTAGTATGTATTAGTATACTAACACATTTAAACGCTTAGATAAAAATATATTGTAAGGTATGGACAGGAATTACCCAGCTTTCCTAACACTAGCTGAATGCTGATAAACAGCCTTGCAGAGAGCTCCTGATCAGCACCTTTCCTGTTCCAAAATTTTAATATAAAAATATTTTTTATAAAATAGTATTTATTGAGTATGTTTATTGTTTATTATGGTCTCTTATTTTTACTCACTTCCCCACATCGCTGCATTACTTCCCCTGTGCTACAGAAACTCACAGATATGGAAGCTTCTGAGTGTTTCCTACGAGAACTGGTGTGTGGACTTAATGGGAGCCCAAGAGCTCATGGCGTAATACACTTGCTAATCATCCAGAGAAAGACTATGGGTCCAGCAGTTGAGGACCTTGACAAAATGGTCTGTAGTTCATTGTTTGGAAACTGATGACACTTGAGAAACACTGTAAGAAGCTAAATTAAAACTGAATATTGTTATGTTCATGCAAGAGGTGGAGATAAGACAATAAACATAACTGCTGGCCTTTAATCCCCATTGGCATTTGTCATCTTCAGCAGTCTCTGCTGAAAAGGTAGTGCTATTAGAGAAACATTTACCTGAGAAACATACATAAGTATATAAAAAGACCCATGAAAATATAAAGGCATGAGAAAAGAAAATATATTTTTAAATTAAATTTGGTAACAGGAAAACAAATTGAGCAATCTCTCCATGGCTAGAAATCTCTGTGGAGCGAGCTCTGCTCCTGAAATCTATCATGCAGCACTGGAGTCACTTTGAAAATGATTCCATTGGAGTCAGCAACACCCAAACTGTGGGTGGAAGTTATTAATCAGACAGCCACAATACAATGTTTTATAGTGTGAAGACAACAACCAATGCTGACTCTAATGAATAAGAGTCTGTTTTAAATTAGGATGCACCTGTATGTGATAACTTTGGTTCCATCAATCTGCTTCCTCAGTCTACCTCACTATCCTTTCCATTTGCCTTTTTTTCCTTATCTTTCCTAGTTTCAATCTCTTTTTCTGAGTTATTTCATATGAGCACTGCAAACACAGGATTTAAAAAAAAACACTGATTTTGATAAATGATTGAGAAAAATTTAGTCTGAGAGTTTATTCTGGGAATAATGTGATTCACAATTTATTAGAAGAGAATTAGAAGAACTATCATTGAGAAATGTCTAGAAAAGAATTAGAAGAGCTATCACTGAGAAATGCCTAATTTGAGCTGAATTGACAGGCTTGCTTTAAGATCAAAAAGCATTAAAATGATAAATACCATGTAGAAAAGGGTGAGAGAGAAACAGCAAAAGAGAGACTGAGAATGCAACAGGTTTATGTAGAAAGACTTGAAATTATATCTGAAAAAAAAAGAGCTTAACTGAACTTGAGAAGTTCAGTTCAGCAGTGGGTGCTGTTTGGGCTTTCCAATAGCAGAGGAGGGCTGTATGAATAGCGGAATTCCAAAAGTTGCCTTCTCATCGTGCTGCCCCCTTCCACTGACCTGCGTGAGAGCCTCTTATGCCCCTGAATCTTTTCTAAGCTTGTGGTATATTTTTACAGAGAAGGGAGAACATTTATATGGAGCTACTCGCTGAAACATGAAACTTTATGAGAAACCCCGAGAAAAGAATGTGTCATTGAGACATGCAAATCTAATGCTGGGCTTGCACGATCCGAAAAGACAGCAGTATCCTGAGAAGGAGGGTGAGGGCAGGCAAACAAGAGAAGCATGTTCTGTCTGACAAACACCTGCAAAGAATGCACAAGGGATGCAAAAGGGACCACTTGGTATGCAACTGGGGACAGAACTTGAGAGCAGGGAAGTGATGTGACAAACTGATACGGTCGAAAGGGAGGTGAACCCCTTCATTCAATCCCGTGAAAGTGTCAGTAAGGTCTGCGGCTTGAAAGATATGCCTGCAAGACAGACTGGGAGAGGAATCACAGGTGCTGCGTGCCCCTGAACTGTCATAACAATAAATAAGGTTATCTGTCATGATCAAGCCATCCGCAGAAGTGCTTTACACTGTCCTGCATAGATGCTACACATTTATCTAAGGTTGCAAAAATTGCGTAAGAGAAC